TATTATGTACATTATTTACATTATTCGGACTATTGTCCTCATATTTGTCACAATATTTATTACAACGTTTCGGCCGTTGTACGCTCCAGCCTTCTTCAGGTGGTTGGAATGTCCAATTGAACCCTGTATTTCGCTCACTGGATAGACCGTTCTAGATTCATGTGTCATGTTTAATGGATGTTAGTTATCTCTCCAAGTTCTCCACTGCCTTATCCTGGTATTGAACTCACAGTCTTTGTGTCCTGTCACTGAGGACACATAACACAGTAGATAAAGGCGTTGGTGAGATCCATTTGCATGACCCAAAGAGTGTGAGTTCAATACCCGGTTAAGGGAGTGAAGAACTTTCAGAGGAAAATTAATAGGAGATAACTGATAACTGCCATGGCACGTGGAACTAGAATAGCCTACCCCAGTAAGCGAAATAAAGGGTTCAGTTCGACATTCTAACCACCTGAAGAAGGCCGGAGCGTACAACGGCTGAAGTGTTGTAATAAATATGGCGACAAAGATGAGGACAATAGTCCGAATAATGTAAATAATGTATCTGTGTGGTATTTTAAAAATATTATAACGTGGCAATTTGCCGGATTCTTATGCTTATTTTTAAATTTGATTCTGACAAACGGAACGTTTGGAATTTTCGGGTGTTGAACTCACAGTTATCATGAATTTTCTGTTCCTTCAGAAGAAATCTCCCGAGAAAATCCTCAAGTGTATGATGGGCAGAGTGATCAATATGCACCTCATATCGTCCCAAGATATAACAATGTCCTGTAACACTTCGACTTCGTTAACTCTTGAAATTGTTGAACATCGACCGATCTCTTGTCATCTGATTTGCAGCGACACTAGTGAAATCCAAGGGACTATTTGAATCTATAATTCATTTGCAATTGGGTACAGAAAAGCTGTCAATCAAGTCGGTATCAACAACTTTGAAGGCCGACCAGAAACTCTATCGACTGAATATCTTCAAGCTTATAGCGTTTCCAGGGACGTCGGGAAAAGCATTTGCAAAAACATTTCACTTTCAATGAAATGTGGTCACGCCACTATGATTTCGAGACCAAATAGCAATCTATGCCGCGGCAGCACACAAGTTTTTCACCGTCGAAAAGCATTCAAACGTCATAATGTGATACTATTATTGGGACATCCGCATGGAAGAAGAAGCTGTGATTTTAACTCGATTTTAAGTGGATGTGATATAGCCGGCGGATTTATGTCAAGCAGCACCAACTTGACCGAAGTAGAGCAAAACAACAAATAAAAAAATGAATGCGCTCGAGGTCAAGCGACAACAAGCCGGACATTTCCAGCTGCCGGTCTTTATTAACAGAGAAGGATATCGTACTGTTAACCCGTAGTTTGTTTTTCAGGCACTTTCCTGAAACTCCTATATAATATATTAATACTAAACAACATTTGGTTCTGTGAACATAAGTGATGATAAAGGAACAGTACTTTTTGATATGAGGCAGATTTTTTTCCCACAGTAGGTTGCCATTTGTTTCTGCTGTAGACTGGCTGCTATCCAACGCTTAAGAGCATGGTCTGTTCATCTATTCCATCCATGTGGGGAGAGAAGAGATGGATTCATACCTCTTTCAAGGGTACTTGTGCGTAAGTGAAATTCGAACTCCGAGACGATAGCCATTACACCACAATGCACATCCGTTGTAGACTATATAAACTATACTAAACCATTAAAAACTGTAGAGGAGCATTCTCTGAACTCTAAGAATGGAATATTATTGCTATATCACCAACTGGTGTTGTCCAATTCTCACTGTCCAGCCTGGATAGAATTCAAAAGAACTTACGCGGCCCTGTTAGTGATATGGATTGTTCTCCACCCTGCTTCTCTTATACCGCAGACGAAAATTTTCTAGCTCCTTACTATTCTATCGCTATTACGATGGAACATGTTCGGACAGGTTACATTACTTATCTCTCCCATCTCAGACCTTCAGAGCTAGGACCTACCATGCCATGTTCACCGTGGCAAACCATATCCATTCACTTCGTGTTGCTTTAATAAGGAGCAAGTTCCATTCAGACAGCTTCTTTCCTAGAACTGTTGCTTTCTTGAATAGACTCCCGAGTGGATGCTTCCCTGAAAACAAAAATTATTTATCTCTTTAGAGTGGATGTTTCCTTGAAAATTACAATTGTTCATCTAAAGAGATCAACAATTGTATTTTTCTTAAAAACAACATTTCTGAGGAAGAGGATGTCTGAGTGAAACTTTCAGGGACGTCCATGTTCAACCAATATCTATCCCACAAGCCCTTGTAATATGCATTTATTAATTCCTCCCCTACCCTATACTTACAACACTCTCACTTAGTAACCTTCTAACTTGAGTTGCACTTGAGCCTTATATCGCTCGAATAATCAGTAAAAAAACAGCAGTCGGTGATGTTCAGCGTAGTACAACAGCCGAAATGTTGTAATAAATATGGCGACAAAGATGAAGACAATAGTCCGAATAATTTAAATAATGTACATTATTCCTAACCAATTTAAAATTAATCTCCTATCTTTACTGACACTTGAGACATATATTGATTGTAAATTCGTATAAAAAATTTCCAAAACAATTGGTAAATGTCATTTTATTTCATATTATAGAGATTGATCAGTTTCTTTGCATAAGATTTTAACCTCATTTGAGCAACAGCGAGGTTTGGGAGAAAATGGAAACAAAGAGGAAACTTATACTTTATATCTGGCGTTCTGGTATTGACGATAAACTATATCCGACAGAAGAATCAGGAGAATTTGAGGAGCGTGGGGTCACGTCTTAATTGCTTGTGTTCCCAGGTCCCCCAGGACGCGGGGTGGTAGCATCTGTTCGTGTCTCAGCGATAGGTAAATAGTTAAATCTCTAACTGGGATCAAAACACTATAAAAAAGCGTAAAAAGTAGGTTTTTATAGCAAAAATACCCGCAGTATATTTTGGAAAAAGAAAAAATGAAGAAAAGAAGATTACCAGCAATTCATTTTTTTTTGAAAAAAGCAATAGCAGCTGGGTATGACGATAAACTACAGTAATAGATTTTTTAAAAAAAAATATTACTCAGTAGATTTTTGGAAAAAGAAATTACCAGCAATAGATTAAATTCTCGACAAAACATGCTCTTATGAAAACTATTTTACAAATTGGTTTCTTACAAAGAATACATATTCTATTCATATGAACTCACCCCCAAAATGTCGGCATTAATTGTAACATTGAGGTTGATATACCGTAAAACAAAACAAACTAAACCTTAACATAAGGTAGGAGACAGTTGAAATTTCTGGGACACAAAATGAGGAGAGAAGACTTGGCAAATCTGATCTTCACAGAAGAGAAGGAAAGAGGGACTGAAGTAAACAGCGCGTAACATACTTGATGGGCTTGAGCAAATGTATGGCAGAACAGGGTTTGGGAGAAATGACAAAACTTTACAAGCTCCAAGGGTCAGAAATATGTGGAGGGCCATGATCGCCTACGTCACGAAGGAATACGGCACATAAAAGAAGAAGAAAAAATAATTAAATGTAGGTTGGTTGATTTATTTTCTAAGCGTTATCAAACCTTTGCAGCTTATTTAAAACGATAAACTATTTTTTTTAGATTGCAAATGAAATGATAATGTCGTAATGATACAAGTCTTAATAATTAACCCATACACCCTTGCACAAATTAATTGAAACAAAACGAATACTTCCGTTATTATTTACTGTTTGTTCGTATTTTTTTCCAATGAAACATGAACCAGTGCAGTACTTCGTATGTCTAATTCATGAAATCATCCATTGCAGATTGACCACAGATTCACGATACGATTTAAATCAGGAGAGTTTCCGGGCTAGTCTACAGTACTTTGATTTGCTCACTGGTAAGGCTTGCCAGTGTGTTCGTGCAGTATTACAATTTTCGTACGGTTCCTTGGAGTTACGCCATTACAGGAAATGGCTGTAGGACAACTAATAGATTGTCGAGACAATAGTGTCTGGACTTGATAAAAATCTGATGCAATCGCGTACGACACAATATTTTTCAAGGCTACAAAAATTTTATCATACATCCCGAAAACAGATCCATATTTGTGCACATCACTGCAAATGACTTAATCTACGGGAAAAAAAATAGAAAATCGATTACATATTCAATGGGTCTAAAACTAACCGTATTTTGAAAGAAAGGAAATTGAAGTGATTGTTTCAGCTCATTTGCACAAGTGTGTAGCTAGGGGATGGAAAAGGTGGAAAATATTTGTGATCTAAGGGGGGATAAATCGGGTTAAATTTCATTTTTCTAACTTTTTTTGTTGTTTTTTTTTTTTAATTCTTATTGTCTCTTTCTTTCAAAGGTATTTGCGCGTAATAGAATTTAAGGAACCGAATGGAAATTGCTTGCAAAACATATTGACTTCATACTAGGAAGTTATTTCGTAAATAATGTTTGAAAAGAGGTTAGCAAAATGTCTGGCTTTAAAGTTTCACTGTTTTTTTTTTTAATCAATTCACCCCGAGCAGGTCGATAAGGCAATTAAGATGCAAGAGGATAATGAGAGTGAAAGAGCATGAAAAGATTTTAGAGGCAACCGGAAACCCAATCCTAAACAGCGAACGTGAGTTAAGTCTCTACTCCCGTTCTAAAGACAAGGGAGGAGTGTGAACCGGACAATAGATGAACCTACCGACTCCTACTGAGGAGAAATTTACAAGACAAAGACATTTAACTTAGTCTGGCACGAGAACACACTACTGGAGCACTTTCGTGTCAATGTTTAGACGAGTTAGACTCTTTAGTGCCACCAGCACAGACCTTTACACCCAAAACTCATCTTGCTACGTCCACAGGCTTGTATCAGCCCCATTCCCTCTGTATTCGATTCGTAAGCAGGAAGTTCCCTTCATCCTAGGCTCTAGTCTGAAGTCAATCTTTTTCTATTCACCATATCCTACTGTTCCTACTTGCTCTTTTTATCACACAGCTCATTCAATCATCCCTTGGAGTCGAGTCTTTCTTTCGCCTTTTATTGGATGGACATTGGTGACAAAAAGAACAGAGGAGTGTGGACACAAGGCCCAGCACTAAAATGCTTCCGTTCATGCAGAACAGAAAGAAATCTTTTTTTCTTTTAAAGAGGTAGCCTATCCGTAGCGCATCGCTACGCTCGTAATAATAAAAATTGTTTTCAATATCATGATCTCGAGTCCTTGAAATGGTCGTTCAACAAGATATTTTAGTCCCAAGAATCAAAGATAATTTGGGCAAAAACCGTTGAAGCATAAAGTCGTTTGAGAGTCAAGGTCGTGATACAAAAAAAAAAAAAGAAAAAATAATAACACATTCTTATTCACATCTCTTAAGATTTTGAATACAAGAAATGAATACAATATATTTAAAAAGAAAAATAAACTACTTATTTTCAAGATGAGAAGAGACTGAAATAGCAAGATAGATAAAAAAACAACAAAAAACAGGCAGAGAATGAGAGAGAGAGAGAGAGAGAGAGAGAAAGAGAGAGAGGGGGGGCTCAGAACAGACAACGATAGATAAAGGATAGCTTCATAGATTGATCTACAGATAAATACAAAAATATATATATATACACACACACACACACGCACAGGGGGCGATGGGTAAATTGTCGTCATTTAATATTTCAAATTTCACGCATAGGCTTTGTTTTATAGAGAGATGCTGAATATGAAGAGACTTAAATAGATATATAGAAAAACAGAAATATATATATATATATATATATATATATATATATATATAGATAGATAGATAGATAGATAGATAGAGAGAGTGAGAGAGAAGAACAAAGATAAATAGAAAGATAGACAGCTATAAATATATCCATAGATATGAAAAGACTGTGATACACACACACACACACACACACACACACACACACATATATATATATATATATATATATATATATATATTTGCCTATATTTTGACATGTTTTCATTAAGACAAAAATTGTTGTGTTCATTTTTCTAAGAAAAATTGTTGTGTTCATCTGAAAATTCACTTTTTACGTATGAAGTGATAAACACTAAGGTTATATACAATACAATTTTTAAATTTTTTCATGTAGGACCAACATGATTAAGGCACATGTGCAATCGTCAAGGGAGGTAACTAAGTTACCGAAATAGGCAAAAATTCTCTAAATTAGATAATAAGACATATATATATATATATATATATATATATATATATGTATGTATAAAAGAGCGAGAGAGAAAGGGAGCGATAGAGTGAATGAGAGGGATAAAGTGAGAGAAAAGAGAATATTAACAAAATGTGATTAGTATATAGAGAGATAGATATGAACAGATTGAGATAAATATGAACTGAGAAAGATAATATGAACACACTGAAAAGTGTGTCCGCAATGAGATAGATAGATACATAGATAGATAAATATCAACAGATTGAGATATATAGATATGAACTGAGAAAGCTGATATGAACACATTCAGAAGTATGTCCACAATGGGATAGATAGATAGATAGATAGATAGATAGATAGATATCAAAAGATTTAGATAGATAGATAGATAGATAGAGAGAGAGAGAGAGAGAGAGAGAGAAATATGAACAGATTGACGTAGATAGATATGAAGTGACTGAGGAAGATGGTATGGACACACTGAAAAGTATGTCCACATTGATATAGATAGATAGATAGATAGATAGATAGATAGATAGATAGATATGAACATTGTAAGCTGATTCTTTTGGTCTTGTAGACGTAAATATCTATGCAGAAACAAGAACCATGGTCACGCATATAGAAACCAATACAAAAACTAATGTTTGATTCTTCAATGTGAATTCATTCATGTGCCCATTTCTTTATGATGCTAATTTCTCCGTTGACTTCATCCTGAGTTGTAAACAATAATAACACACACACACACACTCTCTCTCTCTTTCCTTTTCTGTATTTTATATTTCTCCCCGTTTTATACTTTCTATCACTTTTTCTTTTTTGTATCTATCTCTCTCTCTCTCTCTATATGTCTATCGGTTTCTTTCTTAATAAGTATCTTTCTCTCTCTCTCTCTATCTATCTATCTATATTGGCCTCTTCTTATCTATCTATCTATCTATCTATCTATCTATCTTCTATCTATCTTTCTGTTCTCTATCTATCTATTCCTAAAGATTGGTTTTCTATACGCGAACGTTTTCTTTTAACTTTTCTTTTATTGAAGACACTATCACATCTCGCTCGGGGCCACGACAACAAACAAAGTTTCCTATGACAAAATAAAAACATTCCACTTGGCAGGAATTTAGAAAAAAAGAAAAAATTTACGCAGTTATACACATCAACTATTGCGATTCCGTCGACGATAAACAGAGAATCGTTAATTTTATTCAATTTAATTATTGTCAGATGAAGGAGAAATGTGTTGGTAAGATGTGCCTTCTTGTAAACATTAGTTTTCCCTTGACAAGGAGCCAACTTTCCTTGCGGTGGACGAAGCTATTGACTCAATGTCTTCGTTCCATCTCAGGTCAGCAGACAATGTGAGACCGAACAGATGCAAAGAGGTGCTATCGTGGAGTTGACCGTCAGATATTCTAATTGGGAGCAGGGATGGTTCTCTGTGGTGAGTAACAGACGAGGTGAGCGTCGTGGAGCTGAGCGTCAAACATTCTAATGAGGAGCAGGGATGGTGTTATGGTGTGGAAGCATAGAAAGATAACACGGACTTGGATATAAGGTTAAATAGTATATTCTGGGAAACGTAGTACAAAGGTAAATGTGGACTGGAGAGTACTTTCTCTCACTGGTGTCCTGACTCACTCATTCACTCACTCACTCACTCACTCACTCACTCACTCATTCACTCACTCACTCACTCACTCATTCACTCACTCACTCACTCTATGGTTACTACTCGGTGATTCTCACTCGGTGACTTCCTCTACTCAGAGTTGGTAGCCATATTATATAGGTGTGGAAGAGTCCATTTGTAGGTAGGTCCACACAATAGATGTTTCTCTGTGGTGAGTAATAGAGAGCAGTTTTGTTTTTGAGGCATTAAAGTTAACCTGCCAATTCCTGCCCCAATCCACAACCGATTGGAGGTCCTTAGCATGAGAATAACTTTAAAATCAGATGCCGTGTGTGCTAGGACTAAATATTTTCGTCTTGAAATTTGAGTTCAACTAATAAGCGGGCTATAATTTTACTTGATTAAAATGTTGGGTTGTCAAATAAATTTGCATTTTCTTTTTCTAATATTCAATATAATTCGCATCCATATAATTAATTTACTCAAAAATGCTAATCAAGAGCATGTTTGGACATTTCTACTGCACCCTCCCTCTAATTCCTTGATTTACAGCTTTCGTCAGGTTATACGGTCGCCTTTCAACGGTGCGCGAGGTGTTTCATTCAGCAATTAGATCGAGTTGAAAACATAGCGAGCTGAATTCCTTGAGTCAAGACTCGATGATTTCTACCACAAGATAATGAAGCGTTGACAAGTAGCCATGGCACGTTTAGGAGACATATTGAATTACTTGTTAAAATTATTGATCAGTTGTCCCCTCGTATTCAAGGATACCCGTCTACTAGGGCGGCGAGCTAATCCCTTTAGACGCATTTCCGTTTATTCAACACACACCTGTACTTTATACTGCACCTATGCTGAGCAGGCCGTAGTTACGTGTTATCTAGCGTGTTCAAAAATTTAAACAAGGCCAGCAAGCTCAAGACCTCGACGGCGATGACTGACTTCGTGCTGGAACAGCTATCGACGGATGTAAGGTGCCAAAGGTTCCGTCAACGCAATTTCACTCACAAGACATGGCTCATCCCTTGATATGGTTTTCACGCTGGTATTTACCCCTCCAATCCGATGACATCAGGAAGTCCTCGTCCTGACAAATCGACCATGTTGAGATTCGAACCCCGGCCACATAATTAATAATCGGATTAAAATAAATGAAAAAAAAAATATCTAGAAACACATTACAAAATGGGAAGATTTAAAATAAATGATTACTTTTCTATACTAATTTTTCTTTAGTACAGGGATCAAGAGCCAGTCATGGTAGAGGTTTGCAGTCAAAATGGTAAAGATGGATGAGGTGTGTGATATGAATGTAAGAAAAGTGAACCTTACCGTACACCCCCCATGCCCCCCCCAAATAACCTAAGATAATTTCATTTTGTTCGCTGTATAGCATTCTGAACATAGCTTCTCAGAAATGATTTGACTACAAGGACAAATCATATATCTACCATATATATATATATATATATATATATATATATAAGTCCATATAAGTCGATATATTTGTTCATGCTTTGAATATTGCTGTCACATATGGTCCAGTACACGTGCTATTTACATTGAACTTCTTGATAAAATCCAAGAAATCAGCAATATTATTGGTCCTGATCTGGCGGCTCAGCTTCAGTCACTTACCCACCGCCATAAGGTTGCATCCCGGTGCATTTTCTGTAAATAATTTCATAGTAATTGTTCATATGAGCTCTTCGCTATGGTACCTTGACTTTTTGAATTTAAGCGCGGTACTAGACTGGCGTCGAGTTCTCATCAATTTACATTTGAGCTGACTAGATGTAGCCGTAAGTTCTATACTAACAATTTCTTTTCTCGCACTTGTACCATGCTTTCCAGCCACACTTTAATCTGTCCAAATTTAAATACAATGTCAATCGCTATCTACTGTCCCCTCCTTACTCTGTACTCTTTCCGCTCATTATTAATGTTTCTGTTCCTAATATGTTCACACCCAGTAAATCCCTTGTGTCTTAGTGGCTTTACTGTCTTGCATGGGGTGAAACCGATTTAAAAAAATAGTTGCATTCGTTTCAGTATTTTCTCACTTGATATTAACATATGCATGAAACTTATATTATTATTATTATTAAAATTATTGTTATTTTCTGAATGTACGCAGTGTTACCATTGCAAAAACATTGTCTCAACCTAGCAAACACAAAATAGCTAAATGTGTCGTAAATTACGGAAGTGTTCTCTGAAATCAATTTTATATGTCTTAAAACATACCTCCCTGTTTTCCAGGTCGACCTAAATCCGTGGCAAATTCATAAATGAATGATTGTTTTGGCACATGATCCTGAGACATATTTCACATGCAACTATGGTACAATGGTTGTCCAGATGATGGAATTTTATGAATTGGTTGAGCTGCATCTATAACTCATGATGTTAAGAGTTTAGACAACCTGAATCCAGGGCCTGGAAATCGAATCTCTCGGAAACCGACAAACTACGGCGCTAAATCAAATCCGGAAAGGCTGATTGGCGCATCGCCTCAGGGTTCAGTGAATCCTTTTCGTGCGAAATGGATTTATGCCTAGCATTTGCAAGGGCAGTGTGGGTTGCCTTGACTTTGATGGAAATTAGGTCGGGTTTATGTGAGATTACTGTGTTTTCTCCCGGAAAATAATTAAAAGCAGGTGTTTGCTGATAATTTCGGAGATAAATATAGAGGCAATTTGTAAAATAAAACGGGGTATCGAATTCGATTTGGAAAGAAATAGAAGTACATTCGCTCCAGAGATCTTTCTTTCTTTCTTTCTTTCTTTCTTTCTTTCTTTCTTTCTATATATCTAAATCAGTCTGTTCATATCTATCTATCTATCTATCTATCTATCTATCTATCTATCTATCTATCTATCTATCACAATTCAATATGTATGTATCTAACACAGGCTGCTCGTATCTATCTATCTATCTATCTATCTATCTATCTATCTATCTATCTATCTATCACAATTCAATATGTATGTATCTAACACAGGCTGTTCGTATCTATCTATCTATCTATCTATCTATCTATCTATCTATCTCTATCTATCTATCTATCTATCTATCCTATATACAGACACACACACATATGCGGGAGTACATATTTAGAGATAGGTATCTTTTGTATATATCTATATCTATCTATCTATCTATCTATCTATCTATCTATATATATATATATATATATATATATATATATATATATAATTATGTTCGTAGTTATCTATCTATCTGATTATGAGTCTCTTTTATGTATGTATGTATGTATGTATACATTCCATCTATATCTATATAAATATTCGTGTATATATATATATATATATATATATATATATATATATATATATATATATATATATATCTGAGGGAAATATGATATGTTTTTGTAAAAGGAGACAATCGGCCTTTCCAATTTTGTTTTTGGGATATTTATCGCCATAGATTGATTTGCACAATAGACACTTCTACGATAAACAGTCATTTGTTCATTTCTCGTGTTATATTACTATAGATTAAACAGGCCAGCACGAATATTAAAAAAAAATTAAACATTATAAAAGTTAACAATAAAGTCTAGATTCCTATGTAAATCCATTGTAAATCGGCTTCCGTAGAGGATGGCTCCACGAATGTCAAAATAAATATTCTCATACGACGCTACATCTTATAAATAATTTTCTTTTTAATTCGTTATCTGAAACGCTTAATCGATATTGATATAGATAAGGTTTTGTATTTCAAGTTGATTTTTTTTTTATATTTTAAAAAACCACGTTCTACACCCTTGTGTAAATTAATTGAAACAAAACGAATAAATTCCGCTATTATTTACTATTTCTCGTATTTTTCCCAATGAAACATGACCCAGTGCACATGTTAGTACTTCGTATGTCCAATCCATGAAGTAGTTTCTTGCAGATTGACCACAGATTCTCGATTGGATTTAAATCAGGATAGTTTCCGGGCCAGTTTATAGTACTTTGATTTAATCACTTGTAAAACTTGCCAGTGCGTTTGTGCAGCTTTACAATGTTTGTACACTTTCTTGGAGTAACGTCCATCATAGACAATGGCCGTAGGACAACTAATCGACAGTCGAGACAGTAATGCCTGGGCTTAATAAAAATCTGATGCAACCACGGAATACGCAATATTTCTCAAGGCCAAACAAATTTCATCAGACACCCCGAAAATAGATTCATATTACTGTCCAGCACTTTAAATGACCTAATCTGAGAAAAAATAGAAATCGATTACGCCCTGTCAATCCAGTGAGTCTAAAACTGACCGTATGTTGAAAGAAAGGAAACTAAAACGGTTATTTCAATTAATTTCCACAAGGGTATTTGTGTTCAACTTAAGGTATGTGGGTGGCTTATATGTTGCTCATTCTAGGTGGATGGAGAGGAACAGCCCGCATAACGTATGCCATATCCCACAGCCAACTAGACACGAACCGATGGCTTTTAGCGCGTCAATATTAAAATATGTCTCTTCTTGTTAAACCGTCTACTTACGGCTATTTAAAACCGATTCTTGTCCTCTCATTTAATTTAAGCAACTTCGAGTCTGGTCAGTACCTCGATGGGTGACCACTTGCGATTAGAAGGTGTTGTAAGCTTGGATGTACGGTGGCCTAAGAAAAAGTTTTTAACCATGAGAAATAAACTCTATCCAATTTCAAAATTTAATTACGTAACCCTATTCAACATATGTTATGCTGTGGCAAACAATTTTTTTTTCTTCCACCGAATGAGTTCGAATCGCTCGTCGCCATTGTTATGGTCCTGTTCCTTGTACCACGGTGATAGTCCAAGGTAGAACCAATAAAGAAGAACTCGAACGCGGATATGGAATAACACAGATATATTACAAACAGGAATATATACAGAGAAGTAGAAAGTGTTAGTACGAACAATCAGGTTTAGTAGTAATTGTCTGAACGCGACACTGTTTCGGACTGCCTCTGACTCGACTGACTGACTCGCTCGCTCTGACTGACTGACAGACTCCTGACGGACTTCACTCCAGACTTCAGACTGAACTCAGACTTCAGACGGAACTTTAGACTTCAGACGGAACTCCCTGCTTCCTCTTGAGGCGCAGTATTTATTACGTATGGAATAGTCCATTATGTTATTATGGCTAAGGTCCCATAACAACATAAATAAACAGTATTTAGAACTAGTATAGAGTAGGTCCTCCATTTGCTAGTTTCAGTTCCTGTATTCGATTTTTCATCGATTTGATCAAGTTATCAACAATCGTCTGAGCCATATTTTGCCACTCCTTTAGCAATGTTTCGTTAAGGGTTGCCACTGACGTGATTTTGGGTGCACATTCTCGACGTCTTCGGTCAAGGTGCTCCCAAACGTGCTCTATTGGATAAATGCCAAGACTTTGGGTTGCCCATAGCAATGACTTGATTCCTTGCGATTCCTTCCAGGTCTTTGCTACTTTGCTCGTATGACATGGAGCTCCATCTTTTTGAAAAATGCAGACATTCTTGTTAATCCGATTGGTTTAAATTAGTGGAAGTAGTCCTTTAATATTTGACCATTCAACCGCTCGTTAACAAGAATCAGCTCAAATTTCCCTCCAAATCAGACAGCGCCCCACACCAATAGTCCAAGCTCTCCATGTTTCACGGTCGCCTGCAGACATTCATTATTCCAAGTCTCATTCTGATTTCTCCAAATATAAACCTGTCTCGAATTCGAATATTGGCAGAATTTACTTTCATCTGTCCAAATTTCTGACTGCCAAAATTCATAACCTTTGCTCTCGAAGCAATACGCCTTCTCTTGTTAACCTCTGAATTCAAGGCCTTCTTTCTTGCAACAATTCTTTGATAGCCTAGTTCTTTCAGAGTCTTTCTCGCCGCATATGGTGACATTTCCATGCCGTTGGCGACATCTTTGGCGCTCTGACAACGGTTTCTGATGACTTCCATCTTCAGCGCCCTTTTCGTTCACTCAGACACGATGCTTGGTTTTCCTGAACGTTGTCCCACATGACAATGGCCATCTTCATTAAATTTCTTGACAATATTATTAACCATTTGATGATTAGCCTGGAAAAACCTAGCAATTTCTCTATTTGACTTGCCACACTGATGCCATCCTATTATTTGCCTTGTTGAAATTCATCAATTTCCTTACTTCCACGAACTTTCATTGCAAAATATCGTTCATAGATGAGAGTAGCTTGATACTAACACGGTATTGTCTGAAAAAAAGAAGAGATGTTATTACACATGCCAAAATTGCTGTAATCAAGGGTGGTTAAAAAATTATCATAGCTCGCTGTACGGTGGTGTAGTGGATAAGGCTCACAAGTGGGGGTGATGGGGGCCTCAACGGAAACCAAAATAAATATTCTTATACGGCACTATATCTTAAAATTAATTTTCTTTTTAATTCATTATCTGGAACGCTTAATCGATATTGATATAGGTAAGATTTCGAATTTCAATTTGATTTTTATTTTATTTTATTTATTTATTTTTTTTGCATTTTAAGAAATCACGTTCTATGAGCAGATTTTGTTTTGCCTTTCGTGAGGGGAATCAGGTATTGTGCAACCCCACCTTATCATGATTTTTTAGATTACGGTATTTTCCGACTAGCAAGAGTCCGCGGCTTGGAAGACGCACCCTAATATTGGAAATAAATGTCTAAGAATAAAAGTCATATTCAACACCACTTTAACCATGCGTCCCTCACATAAGGAGCCACGTATTATTTACATTAATTACTCGGCCGATTTGTTTCTATAGCAATAACCTACTAGTCGTTAGCAGAAAGACTTCCTCCTCTGATAGTCAACAGAGCATGTTTAAGCTTGTGGCTCGGCTAGAGGAAGGTTTATAGTCTTGGAAATGATTGTAACAGCTAAGTACTGAGTCGGGACTTTCAGGCCAACCTAATATATACAACAATTCAAAATAACTTCTATTTTTACATTTTTAGACGCTGTTTGATCGGTTTAACATGTCAAAATAAAGGTTCTTCAAATTGATTTCTCTATTTCCCATGCAAATTTTAATCTTACGTAAGTATGTAAGGCCTACATAAATGTAGCGGAAATTTTAAATGTATTGATAATTTGAACATGTAACAAAAATATCTACTCGCTTCTCGATTTTGTCAATTAATGTCGACATGAAGGCGTGCTGATTTAGGGACTTTCTTTAAGCGTTGATTAACTTCTTGCGAGGATGTGTGTGTGTGTGTGTGTGTGTGTGTGTGTGTGTGTGTGTGTGTGTGTGTGTGATTGGTTTTAACTTCTCGAGTTGGGCGCTTACATACCTTCGGTTCTTGTTTGGTTAATCGAAGTCGAGCTTTGTTTCAGCAAGACAATGTGAAGCCACACACTGCCAGGTTGACTAAGGAGAAGTTCAAACAGATATGTTGAGACTCTTCCACATCCACCATTCATTCACGATGCTGCTCCATGTGACTATGGACTATTCCGCTCAATGGCACACGTCCTACGCGAGCAGCGATTCAAAACATTTAGATATTTTACAGTTTTCTTCTATTCAAAGCCAACGATCTGGTATCTAAGACAGATTCGGATGCTGGGTGATTGCTGGCAGAAGATCTTTGAGAATGATGGCCTTTGTTTTGAAAAATATATGTTGGTGTTGCTCTATCAAATTTTGTTGCTTTGCGCTTCTGGTGAGAGTCAGGACTTTCTGGCCAACCTAATCGAAAGATAGATGACAAAAGGAGTCTATTTAAATATAAACAAAGAGGGAGTTGTGGTAGCTAAAGAAATAAAAAAATATGTAGAGGATTATTGTATTTATAAGATATTCTCGGTTTGACATCACGGCTGTGAAGTATGAATTCGATTTATTTAAGAAAGTGTTTTTTTTCTTCTATTACACATGAACATTGGTTCTATTTACAAAATTATACTGTGAGAATGGTGACATGCACAAGATTTCACGCAAGCGTTGTTCTCAATAATCGTGGTCGATTCATTTGAAGGTAAAATTCTTCTTCCAGGAAATAACTCTAAAACATGCCATCATCTGCTTTTCAGGCTAAATGAATTGGTTAAAAATAATGGAAAAACGAACGAAATTTTATTCAATCAATTATTAAAATGCAAACGTTTCATGAAATTATTCTTTCAAGCATAAAGTTTTCAATGGACGATAGGCGGCAGTGAGAATTATCGATTATTTGTGTTTCGTTTATAACTACGATTATTGATTGATTGTTTTCTAGATGGACACTGGAATGCAAGGAAGCATAGTGAAAAGGTGCGGACGTGACTGCTTTGGAAATGGTAGGATTTTTCATTTGCCACGGAAGCAATGAAATTTAGTCCGGATTTCGACGTTTGTTTTTCTTTTTCAGTTGTCATGGTGAATTCTTTCTTTCTTTCTTTCTTTCTTTCTTTCTTTCTTTCTTTCTTTCTTTCTTACCTGAAATATTCTTCCCAAACTTCCTTGATTATATCTCCAACCATATCTATCTATCTATCTATCTATCTATCTATCTATCTATCTATCTATCTATCTATCTATCGCACTCAGGGCGATCTATTTAAAGGCTTATCTATCTATCTATCTATCTATCTATCTATCTATCTATCTATCGCACTCAGGGCGATCTATTTAAAGGCTTATCTATCTATCTATCTACCTATCTATCTATCTATCTCGCTCAGGGCTATCTACTTGAAGCTACTATCTATCTCGATTAATTTTTCTTTTTCTATAAAATTTGTCACAGCTTTTACAAATACAGTAAGAATGTTAACATTAACTGAATTAAAACTGAAGCAGGAATTTACAAAAAAGATTACAATCGTTTCCGTGAAATACATTTATTAGACACGTTTCGGTTCTTCGAGGTGGTGTAATGCTTAACATTCTCCTCAATCCTCGGAGTATTGAGTTCGATCTTTATTGTGTGCTCCAGACTTTCCGCCTTGTGCCACATCTAATCTACCCTTAGAAAAATATTTTGCGCGCTTCGACTTGGTGCAATGGATAGGAAGTTTGTCTCGCTAGATCAGTTACGACTGAGCTGTGACTTCGAACATCACTGGGTGCCAAATGTTTTCGTTCTTGTACCACATGTGCTACGTCTAGAAAATATCTGTCTGTCTATAAAAGCTGTTTATATCTGTGTTTATTTCTATCTGAGTGTGTCCATTTGATCTATCTATATAGTGATCGACCGATCGCTATGTATATGCTATAAAAATCTATCTATAAAAAGCTATTGATATGTGTTCATTTCCGTTTATCTATCTGAATGTCTCCACTTTATATCTATCTATCTATCTATCTATCTATCTATCTATCTATCTATCTATCTATCTAGTGATCGATCGATCGCGTGCTATACATATCTATCTATCTATCTATCTATCTATCTATCTATCTAGTGATCGATAGATCGTTTGTTATAAATATCTATCTATCTATCTATCTATCTATCTATCTAGTGATTGATCGATCGTGTTCTATACATATCTATCTATCTATCTATCTAGTGATCGATCGCGTGCTATAAATATCTATTTATATAGCGATCGATCGATCGCATGCTATACATGCCTATCTATCTATAAAAAGCTATTGATGTGTTCATTTCCGTTTATCTCTCTGAATGTGTCCATTTTATCTATCTATCTATCTATCTATCTATCTATCTAGTGATCGATCTATCGCGTGATATACATATCTAATCTATCTATCTATTTATCTATATAGTGATAGATCGATCGCATACTATACATATCTATCATTCTATATATCTATCTATAAAAAGCTATTGATATGTGTTCATTTCGTGTTTATCTATCTGAATGTTTCCACTTTATCTATCTATCTATCTATCTATCTATCTATCTATCTATCTATTAAAAGCTATTGATATGTGTTCATTTCCGTTTATCTATCTGAATGTGCCCATTTTATCTATCTAGTGATTAATCAGTCTCATGCCGTTCATATCTATTTATCTGTCTGTCTATCTATCTATCTATTGATCGATCGATCGCACGCTGTTCATATCTATCTATCTATCTATCTATCTATCTATCAACAACAGATTGTTCATATCTGTCTTTGTATCTATCTCATCCATTTTGTAGAACGGCATTAAATGTGATCGTCACTTGGTAAGAATTTACTATGTGTTCTTTATATAAAGAAGACTCCTACTTAATGACATGTCAGCCGATCTCTGATCGACGTCTTTGACACTACATTCTCTCAATGGGCCCATTATTTCCTTCCAATGGAGGTAGCTTGTCTAGTTGTCTGGGTCACTCACTCAACCATATTTCCGATCCAATGAGAAGACATTCTGTTTTGATATCTTGGTAGTAACTTCTTCCTTGAGTTGATCTTGGGCCTTCTATCATGTGAAGAATACTGAAAGAAAAAAAATCTTTGTTTAGTTAATATCTCGCCTATTTTTGGTATGCCTTATCTAGCTATGGCGGTAGTGTCTGCCAGATCACATTAAAGCAGCCTTTGTGACCCCTACTCCTAATGGTTTTTTTTTAATTCACCCAATCGAAGTCGCTGGCCTTGGCCTGGACCCTCCCCTGATCAGGCATGGCGTTTCTGTCTCGACGATAAGTTCTGATGCTTTGATTCCTTGGCAAAAACATCATTTAGTAACCCTCTAACTTGAGTGGCTCTTTTATTAAATTAAAGATAGGAATCGAGAATTTTCCCTCACGGGATATATTAAAGGCAAGGGGTCAAAGAAAAGCAGTTAAGACTTATCTAACGATTGGTAGAATAAGGATTTGAAGACAAAATTTTACTAAGAGACGGGAAGTTGTGGAGAGCAGTGATCCTGAATGGTCATGACACATAGAAGAAGCCAGCACAGCAATTATATAAAAAAAGGTCGCTTATACTAAAGCTGATATTCTGTTATATAAAAGAAGAAAAGAGTTTTTTTCTAAAATCGTATTTAAATGTTTCCTGTTACACTTTTGCGATGCTGATACAGACAGAAGGTTCAACAGAAGGATACTGAGGATTCTATAGACGAGTAAGCAAGTAAATGACAACGAAAAGAACACATATACAAAGTCCGAAACGTTGTGCTAACAACAAAGTTGAGGAATAATTATCTATTTTACAGATTTAAAGTTGCTTCTCCTAAAGGTTCCTTTAGTCTTGCCAACGTAGCGAGATTTTCTTGACCTTTGGTGACCGCACGTTCAGGCCTGATGTTTCCGACATAAAGCAAAGTTCTGCTGGTTTGATTCCTTGGTACCAACATCATTTAGTAACCCTCTACGTTGAGTTGCTCCTGGGCCTTTTACTGGATGATAGTAAAAGAAAAATAATTAAATAAAAGAGAGAAATCAAAGTAGATGTACATTTTGGCCATGGCTGTATAGTTTCTGTTAAGCAAATGACCTTTCTGCATATTTTGAAAGGTCACTCAGCATCGTAATCATTTTTATGCAACTCTTTAAAATGCTTACCCTCTCTCTCTAAATGGCATTTCAGATTCAGCCGTGTTTACTAACACTTGAGAGTTACAACCTACAAATTACTTGGTCCTATTTTTCCATAATGAGTTCCATTTTTCTATTTAAGGGCCGAGTGGTTAGAAAGTTCGTATTCTCATCATGAGTTCCGGGTTCGAATCTCGCCGGGGTCGATTTGTCAGGAAGTAGATGTTAGACATTTTCCTGACGGTCGTCTTCGAGTATAGAATCCAGAGGTTGGCAGTGAATATTTCGGAGACAGTAGGAAAGCGTAGTGCAGGTTCACAGTGGATATCGCAGCAAAGTAGCAGAGCGTAGTTCTTCCGTCTGTCATGTTCGCCGGACAAGTTGCCTCTGGTCCTTCCGGGTAGGAAAACAAAGATGGCTGCCTTTATACACGACGGATCCAGTGTTCTGCGGCTCCTGATTGGTCAACCTTCTATTGGTAGACTATAAAGGGAAATAAGTCATTTTGACTCGCTCACTAGTTATATGTAATATACACAAAAAACCGTAACAGTAGATTCCTAATGTTATTAGACTGTGGGGATCGATCCCAGCGTGCGGCACCTTTGGATAGTACCTGAAAACTATACCACGAGACAGAGTAAAAATTAGGTAGACGTGGGGGGGGTTGTCGATAGCTGTCCTAACACAAAGTCGCAGGTCATCATAAGGGCATGAACGTTCAAATTATTGATCACCCTAGATAACATGCTCTTTCCCAGAAACTGTAACTAATGTCTGCTCAGCATAGTTGCAGTACAAACAAACCAACGGTGGGCTCTAGGCGTGTTTAATGAACACAGATGCGCTAAAGCATGCGTCTGTAATAGGGATGGGCTAACCGCCCTAGTAGACGGGTATCGTCGAATAAGAGTGGCCAGCTATATATTTCCCATAGATATCCGCCGATATATTCCCCAATTGTCAATTTATTGACACTATTAAAGAAATCAAAAACAACGCCAAAGATCTTAGGATCGTTCAATTTTTTAACATTTTTTACAACAGGCACGACACTAGTAAGGTCACTGAAGCAAACAGACATTGCAATCGTTTGGAAAAAATACGAATAAATACGAATAAATTCCAAATGAAACGGTCTCGCATTGGCATGCTGATATTCTGTGATATAAAAGAAGAATGTTTTTTTTTCTAAATTCATATTTAAACGATTCCTGTTACACATTTGCGGTGCTTATACAGACAAAACCAGCTTGATTCAATTCACAATCATGCAAGCCTTTTGTGGAGTACATGCGTGGTCTAATACATGCACGTTAAAAAAAAAGATTTGTTATTAAACAACCGGTAAATATACTTTAGAAGCAAAGAAAAGAAGCGCTAAAATACTTTGTGTCATGGGTCCTTACCTATAACTACAGAATGAACTCTTCCTAACACTATGTATACTACGCCTCTCAAGAGAGAGGGTCGAACCAAGCCGAGTTTCTCGGCTTGACGGTCGAATTCTCTGCCTCTTAGCAGAGAGGAACCCGGACGAGGCTCCGCCGAAGGGTAGAGCCTCGTTCGGGGAGGTTGACCAACCCGATCCCGTTTATACGGGTTCTACGGGCATTTTTTGGCCGAGCCTAAGGGCTCGGGAAACTCGGGTTGAACTCGGCCATGTGCCACATGCAACCCAGGTGTGGGGGCTAGATACCGAATCGAGTCGAGCCTATAGTAGTTCACTCCAAACCAGACTGACAGTCATACTAACACCTTCCACATCTTGTATTATTATTTCGTGTAATATACCTTCGTTATTTCTACTCTTGTGTTCGTGTTGTTCTTCCTTGGCCCTAACCTGGACCATAACACTTTGTGATATCAATCTTCGTGTATGACAGGGAATACAGAACAATCTCTCCACAGATGAAGAGAAAACTGGAGGTGACAGAAATGTGGTTCAACAAAAGGATACTGAGAATTCCATAGATGGAGCGAGTAAGCAAGTAAATGACAACAAAAAGAACCCATACAAATGCCGAAACGTTGTGCGAACAACAAAGTTGAGGAATAATTATCTATTTTAAAGATTTAAAATTGCTTTTGCTATTTACTTAGAGATTCTAGATAAAATACAAAGAAGAATTTGCAGTATTATAGGTCCTGACCTAGCATCTCGGTTTCATTAACTTTGCCACCATCGTAACGTAGCTTCCCTCTGTCTTTTCTATAAATAATTTCTGGGTAATTGTTCAGATTTTTCTCTATGGTACCTAAGCTTTATGAATATAATCGCAGTGCTAGTTTTGCGGCAATTTTACTGCTGAAATGACAGCAGGTAACCGTAAGTTCTATGCTAACGGTTTCTTCTCTGGCACTTCTCGCTTCTGGAACTCTCTTTCAGCTTCCTGCTTTTCCTGTTAAATTCGATCATGAAAAATTTGAATTCAGTATCCAGTATTATCGTCTGTTTTCTTAATTCCTGTTTTTTTTTTATTGTTATCTATTTTTAATACTGTTTTCTTTTTCTCATATTCTCTCGCACTTAGTAACCCCTTGCGTCTTAGTGGATTTCTTACCTTGCTTGGGGTGTAATTATTTAAGAAATTGTGCGCGTGCAAATAATGTAAATAATTAGGAAGATAATAATAATAATAATAATAATAAGAAGAAGAAGAAGAAGAAGAAGAAGAAGAAGAAAAAGAAGAAGACATTTCATTCGGACCTTAAGAAAAAAGCCATCATCTATTGAAAATATGCAGGAATTTTAGGAGAATATTTGAGGTTGCCCAAAAGAATATAGCTCCAATGTAGAGTAGATCCAACGAGAAGAAGAACGAATGACTATAGTTAGGCAAGAAATCCCCAAAATGGAAATGATAAGGTACCAAATTTTTGACTCAATCATCTGTCATTAGTCCATAAATCCCTTGCACAAAGTTTATCAATGCTTATTAGTAATCCCAGTGGAGTGTCAATGGATCACTGAAGGTATTACATATCTCCTACCAAAAACTGGTAGAGCAGACGATCCGAAAAATTATAGGCCAATAACATGTCTGCCCACCACGTATAAAAGGATCACGTATGTCCTGACGAACTGCACGTACCCTTTTCTCAAAGAAAGCAAAATTCTTCCATTGGAACAGAAGGTAAGCAGGAGAGATTCATATCGCTGTAAGTATCAACTATTGAGAAATTAAACAAAATGATATTGGGAACCTGCAGAAAAAGAGGTAGAAATCTTAGCACAGCATGGATAGATTACCGTGAAG